AAAAGAAAAAAGCCGGAAGTGGTGCTGTGGCTCAAGTGGTAGAGCGCCAGCCTTGAGCTGAAGAGCTGAGGGACAGCGCCCACGCCCAGAGTTCAGGCCCCACAACCGGACCCCCCCCCAAAAAAAAACAAAGATGGCTTTGGTCCAATTCGTGATCTATGTAATTAAATGATATGCTTTCTATTATAGTATTGCTAAAGTATTGAAAACTTAAGAGTGAATTAGCATATTTTTCAACACTGGTACATTTCAAAGAACTTAGATACCAACTGGATGTTTAATAATTCTTTCCCTAGCTACCTAAAGTTAGCATCAGATTCCGCAAACTAAAGGCCTTAGTCTCGGAAGGCCAGGGACTGAATAAATAAATTCAGAAGTACAGGATGATGTATTTCTGACTCTGTAGCTATAACTTCAAGTTCCCAACTCCATCATTCTCTGTTTAGGTTCATAATCTCTAGAACAGCTCACAGAACTGAGGAAACAGTATACTGGTTTATCACAAATGACACAACTGAACAGCTAATGGAAAGAATGCAAAGGGGACAAGCAACAGATGTTAAAAGAGGCAAGAAAATGCATTCCCCTACCCCCAGAGACTCTAGAGATAACTCTACTGATACTGATTTTAGAAGACTAATGTAATACTTAGATGGAGTAGAACATTAATTAGAAGCAACCAAATATAAGAATCTTGATAGAACTAGGGGTGTAGTTCAATGGTAATATGTGTGCTTAGCAAGCTTGAGGTGGGAGTCTAATCCAAAACACAAAAGTAATTAAGTAGCTAATTGATTAAAATGAAAAGAATCAAGACAAATGTCATAAAATGTAAATAATCAAATTATAGACCATACATTTATGGTTAATTAATTTTCAACATGGATACAAAGATAATTCAAAAAGGGAAAGTCTTTCCAATATATGCTCCTGTGACAACTGAATATCCATATACAAAAGAAAGAGGTATATTCCTATTTCATGCCACTTAGAAAAATCTTTTTTTGTTGTTGTTGGTCATGGGGGCTGAACTCTTGGGCCTGGGAGCTGTCTCTCAGCTCTTCAGCAGAAGGGTAGCGCCCTACCACTTGAGCCACAGTGCCACTTCCAGCTTTTTTCTGCTTATGTGGTGCTGAGGAATTAAACCCAGGGCCTCATGCATGCGAATCAAGCACTCTACCACTGAGCCACCTTCCCAGCCCCACACCCAGAACAAGTAACTAAAAAAAGATCAAAGAGGACTGAGGATGTAGCTTGTGTTAAAGCATTTGCCTAGCATGTGCAAGGCCATGGATTACAACCCCAGCACTGTAAGAAAACAAAACAACATAAAAAAAAATTGATCAAAGACTTCACTGCCAAAGTTAAATAAAAGTCTTGGAAGAAAACTTAAGTTTAAATATTCATGACCCTGGATTAGGCAATCATTTCTTAGTTATACCATCACCAACAAAACACTATAAACAAAAGAAAAAAATAGATACAACTATACTTCGTGAAAAACTCCCATTGGGAAGGCTATAATCAAAGATAATTTACAAGGGCCAGTAAGGCTGTGGGGAAATTGGAATACATATGCACTGCTGACAAAAAGGTAAAAAGGTATAACTGCTTTGGAAAATAGTCTGGCAGCTCCAAAAGTTAAAGCCTTTCCATTGACTCCAAAACTCTACTCTTAGGTATATGCCCAAGAGAGTTAAAACATGTCCACCCAAAAACATGTATGGGAAGAATCACAGTAGCATTTTTCATAGTAGCTCAAACAACCGAGCTGTGTATTGCTGATTAACAGAAAAAATAATATGTGCCATATCCATATCTGGCCTGAAAAAGCAACACCAATATACTCTGTAACACAGATGAACTTTGAAAGTGGCCAGACACAAAAGACCACATATTATACAAGACCATAGACATGAAGTATCTAAAACAGCAAATCCAAAGAGACATAAAGCAGACTAGTGATGGCCAGGGTCTCAGAGAAGGGATAGGTAGTGCTATGAACTAGAAGGGTGCACATTTTGGAAAGTACCACAAATGAACTGTATACTTTAAAACAGGGAATGGTGAATTTTAATGTTATGTGAATTTTGTCATTAAAAACAAGGGAGCTGGGCACTGTTGGCTCACACATGTAATCCTAGCTACTCAGGAGGCTGAGATCTGAGGATCTCGGTTCAAAGCCAGCCTGGGTAGAAAAGTCACTGCGACTCTTAGCTCCAGTTAACCACTCAGAAAACTGGAAGTGGCAGTGTGGCTCAAGTGGTAGAGTGCTAGCCTTGAGCACAAAGAGGATCAGGGATAACACCTAGGCCCTGAGTACAAGCTCCACACCCAATCAAAAAAAAAAAGCAAAAAAACAAAACATGGTAAGTGAAAGCTAACATGGAGAAGGGGTAAAAACAATAAATTCAAACTACCAACTTTTCCCCCCCCTGGAACAACGAGTTATTTAGTTAACCTCAAGATCAGTGTTGGAACTAACAGTGTTGTCAGCTACCTTGCTTCTCCACTCTAAGGCAGGGACTTACATTTCATTTTTCTTTTTTTTCTTTTTTTGTCAGTTGTGGGGCTTGAACTCTGGGCCTGAGCACTATCCCTCAGCTTTTCAGCTCAAGTTGAGCACTCTACCACTTGAGCCACAGAGCCATTTCTGGTTTTCTGAGTGGTTTATTGGAGATAAGAGTCTCACGGACTTTCCTGTCGGGGCTGGCTTTGAACCAGGATCCTCAGATCGCAGCCTCTTGAGTAGCTAGGATTATAGGCATAAGCCACCGGTGCCTGGCAATATTACCTAGCAGGACTTACAATTTTATCATTATAGGATAAGCCTAAAAGGACTTCTGGCCTGTAGGTGTGGCTCAAGCAGGAGAACTCAGAGGTAGACCCTAAGTTAAAATCCCAGTATCACCAGAACAACACAAAACAATTAGATTCTAGTCTTCAGATATACTTACCATTGTAATTGGCTGCATCAGGATCATCCATATTAATGGCAATAACTTTCCAGTCCGTTTCTCCTTCATCAATCATAGCCAATATGCCCAAAACTTTCACTCTGATTATCTCACCTCTTGCACATACCTAAGATTCAACAAACACAGTTAAGGAAATGCCTCAGAATGAAATTTGGGGATGAAAATTTTATTTGGTGATAGTAGGAAATAAAACTGTCAAATTTCTATACATTTAAAGATAGTTCTTGAAGCACATTTTCAAAAGCTAGACAAGCATATGCTTCATTAGTGCTATTAAGATGGAAGATTGGTGAGGGGTTTGGGGGGAGGGAAAGAGGGAGAAAAATGAGGGAGGGGGTAACAAGCTAGACAAGAAATGTAATCACTATCTTACTCACGTAATTGTAATCACTCTTACATCATCTTGACAATGAAATTAAAATTAAAAAAAAAAAAAGGAGTCTCAAATACTCTGCCCAGGCTGGCTTTGAATCTCAATCCTCCAGGTCTCAGAGTCCTGAGTATCTAGGATTACAGGGAAGAGCCACCAGCTGGTTCCACATTCCTAATGTGAACTGTTTACCATTTATCTTATAGAAGACCCTGAGTCAGGCCAGTCATAATGCCTAGTCTGTCCTTAAAACTTTGACTTGGAAGTGGCACTGTGGTCAAAGTAGTAGAGCACCAGCCTTGAGGAAAAAAGCTCAGGGACAGCACCTAGGCCCCACAACCAACCAACCTCCCCCCCCCCCCAACCAAAATAAAAATCAACAACAAAAAATCAACTTTGACTTAATGACTGGGACTGTGGCTCAGTGAAAGAGAACTTAACTTGCCTAGCATGCATTAGGCCGTGGGTTTGACCATTAGCCTAACTCCCCAACAAAGCATAATAAAATGAAACAAAAAAAACTTGAGAGTTAAAAAAAATAATGACAATTTTGGTTTTAATTGTTTTTTCCTGACCCTAAGAGAGATATAAAGATATAATGAATCAGAATCTCATAGTAGCCCTACTTCATAGAAGAATCCCTACCATAAACCTCCAAGCAAAGAGGTTATTTGGCTTGAGTCAGTTCACAGGTCATACCAAACCCTTCTGCAAGGGTTATCTCATGCCAATTTGAAATGTGCTTCCAGGTACTTTTACCTATGGACTATTTATCTGTCTTCTAAAGTAGTATAGAGCATGTCTCCCTGTTCAACCCTATATATACACGCACATTTTTCCAGACTAGGCTTGAAAATGACAATTATGAATGCTTAGAATGAAATCACCCAGAACCATCAATATTTCTGTAATATTCATAGGTTTTATTCACAGTATTCTTACACTACAGAAAAGATGTCAGATTTCATTACCTTGCTTCCAATTTCACAAACATCAATTGGGTCATTGTCACCACAGCACCCAGTATGTTTGTCATTGTGTCCTGGGTCTTCCCATGTCTAAAAAAAAAAACAAGGGTTACATCATTCCTATACATTCTGGTGACAAAGGGGATCTTGATGATGGACAAAATCCAGTCAATCTTTCTACAAAACTATAAATTCACCTATTTTTTCTCATTTTTAAGTTCATTATGTTTAAGAATCTTAATTATATATAATTATTTCAATTAAATACTATAGCTTAACTAAATTTAAGATTGAAAACAATGATCTTATTTTTAGAACAACAACAAGAAAACCCAAACTACACTGGGTATGCCTATAATTCCAGCACTCAGTAGGCTGAGGAAGGAGTATCTGAGTACCAGGCCAGTTTAGACTAAATAACAGGATCCTATCACATACACATACACTCTCTCTCTCTCTCTCACACACACACACACACACAATCAATAAACAAATAAAGGTTGCCAGTTGTTCAAACTTACAATCCTAGCTACTTAAGGGGCTGGGAAAGGAAAAGAAAGGAAAGGAAAGGAAAGAAAGGAAAGGAAAGGAAAGGAAAGGAAAAGATCTCAAGAATCTATGTCAATAAAGTAAGTTGGGCATGGTGGCACATGCTTGTCATCAGGGCTACAAATGGGAAGTATACAATAGGCAGATCATAGTCCATAGGACAAGAAGTAAGAATCTGTCTCAAAATAAATCAGTGCAAAAAGGACTAATGGTGTGGCTCAGCAGCAGAACATATGCTTAGCCTGCATGAGGCTCTGAATTCAAAACCCAATTCAACCAAAATAACAATCATAAAATAGCAAAAGAAAACTGCTCAGTGGCTCATGCCTATAATTCCACTATGGGTTCAGTAAGGGGAGCATGCAGTTGGCCTAACAAGAATCTGTCTCAAAAAAACAAAACAAACAAACAAAAAGAAACAAGGCTGGGGCACTAGTTAGCATTACTACTACTACTAATGCTAACTACTCAAGAGCCTGAGATTTGAGGATCAAAGTTCAAAGTCAGTCCGCAGGAAAGGCAATGAGACCCTTATTTCCAATTAGCCACAAGGAAACTGTATATGGAGCTGTGGCTCAAAGTAGTAATGTGTTAGCCTTGAGCAACAAAGCTCAGAGACAGTGCCCAGGCCCTAAGTTCAAGCCCCATGACCAAAATAACAACAACAAAAACTAAGGACTGGAAGGAGAGCTGTGGCTAAAGTGATAGAGCACAAAGAGGCTCAGAGATAGTGCTCAGGTCCTTAGTTCAAGCACCAGGACCAAGATCTGCAAACAACTAAGGACTGGTTATGTAAAGTATTCTTAAATGCACAAGGCCCAGGATTCCAATCTCCCAACCAAAAGGAAAACCTTTGAACTCTTCCGGGCACTTACTATTTTCTACTAATTAGCTTTTCTTTATGACCAATTTCTAAAACACAGACTAGAAGCTGTGATACTAAAATGGAAATATGTTCTGATGTTAAAAGCATTGATGTTAAAAGCTGGCCAGGAGCCAAGACTGGAAAGTTTAACCAGGTTTTTCTGAAGCTTAAATGACTGGTTTTCCTTCCTTGCTAAATTGCAAAGCAGAATCCTCCCAAAACATCTTACAAAAGAACTGAGGCTGTGTTTGCCAGGAAGCTAGGTTTAAAATGCCGCTATTGTTCAGGTTTTCTCCCCAGTCAGAATATTCTTATGACTTGAGTTTCTTTGACTCATCAGGAGTGAAGGAAGAAAGATAAAAGTGAAGAAGGATAAAGGAGGACTCACAAAGCCAACAAACAGTAAGACAGAACAAGCTACAGAAGGGTAAATATTTCAGTGATGTTTTCCCGTAGGGGCATACTTCAAAACAAAATACTAAATCAGAAGTACAAGGCTAAGTGCTGTAATTAGGCAGAAAAATGACTTTGTGATTACTCACAAGCTTAGATCAATTTGACCTATATTCTAATAGCTGTTCCACAAGAAAATTCTACTTAACAATTTCACTTAATGGAGAATAAACAAAGCACTTAGAAACCAGAAAAAACTAAATTGCATGTAGTTTAGGTACTACAGCATTAGCCTAACCAAAACAATTAAACAGGTGTGATTCTAGAAGAGTCTTCACTCAAACATGAAATAAGAACCTGCTATGACAACTGATCATTGCACTTGAGATAAAATGGTAAGCAATTCAGCTCTCCTTCCAACTCCAGGTTTCACCAACACTTTTGCCACAAAGAGCTCTACTTCAATAGGAAGAAATCAATTACTATGTGAAATGCAGAAACTAGGTGCTTTATTCTATAATAACTATACAAACTCAGTATTAATTTATATCTCAAAAAGGAAAAAGGACACACAGAGGGAGGGAGGATGAGAGCAAGAAAGGGAAGAAGTGAGTTTGATCAGGGCACATTGTGTATGCGTATGGAAATGCTACAATGAACTCTCCACCCTGTTCAAATAATATATTAATTTTAAAAAAATCTTTGAAAATAGAAAGAGACATGTACATCTGGCTCCAAACACCAGGTTTTTGTGTTGTTTTAGTTTTTTTATTTACAAGACAGAAGCTCACTCTGTAGCCTAGGCTCCCCTGAAACTTACAATGTAATTCAGGATGGCCTCAAAGTCTTCTTGCCTCCATCTGTCAAATGCTGGGATTAAAAACATGTATCACATCTAGCTACAAATCAGTTCTTTTTCTTTTGAACTCTGAGCCTGGGCATTGTCCTTGAGCTCTTCAGCTCAAGGCAAGCGGTCTACCACTTGAGTCACAATGCCACTTCCAGCTTTTTCTGCTTATGTGGTTCTGAGGAATGGAACCCAGGGCCTCATGCATGTGACACAAGCACTCTACCACTGAGCACTCTACCAGCTCCCAAATCAGTTCTTTCAAATACTACCATACACTCTCTTAATAAAATTTAGCACTGTGAGATACCACCTCACCCCAGTTAGAATGGCTGTAGTCAAGAACTCTAATAACAACAGATGCTGGAGGGGATGTGGACAGAAGGGAACCTTACTACATTGTTGGTGGGAGTGTAAACTTGTTCAACCACTTTGGAAAGCAGTATGGAGGTTCCTCAAAAGACTCCACATAGAGCTCCCCTATGACCCAGCAACCCCGCTTTTGGGCATTTACCCAAATGATCACAAACAAGGCCACACTAAAGCTACGAGCACGATTGTTTATTGCAGCATTATTTACCATAGGGAAGATATGGAACCAACCCAGGTGCCCCTCAGTAGATGAATGGATCAAGAAAATGTGGTATATATACACAATG